AACGCCTGGGCACAAGATTGCACGAGGATCAACAGGCAATCAACCGCAACGATAAGCAGTCTATGGTCTATGACCACGCACAGCAGAAGAACAACTTCTTCGCCTTTGACAAAATAAGGGTCCTTGCCCGAGCCAATGACAAAATGGCTAGATTGCTGCTGGAAAGTTGGTCTTCGATTGGAACACTCAACAGGGCCGTAGACCTCAATCACACCTACCAGGCATTGCGTAGAAGGCTCGAGTCAGTTCGAACAGGGCTAACAGGAAAGCAAAATAAACTCGAGTGTGGAAAAGAACCAGCTTCGGAGGTAAAAAGGGGAGAAGCCGCCCAGAAACCACATCACCGACGCGCCCACGAGGTTGAGATCAACTCAGGTGGGCAGGAACACTCGTCAGTAGACGATGACCACGTCAGCCAGTACGCTGACTTGTAACAGCCGAAAAGTGAGCAGAGATCACACGAGTCACCAGCGATCAATATCACGGTCAATCAATATCGATCAGGCAGGTCAAAGTTCGTGCGTCGAGCGCAGATATAATAACAGGCACGCGGCAAGGCTGCAACAGTCCCGGCGAACAGGAACAACAACCCAGTTACTCTGACGATGGAACCGAGAGAGTGTCCGAAACGTCAATCTCAAAATAAAGTGGTCCATGTCCCCGTGCCTTCTTCTTCCTCTTCTTTGGGGGATGGTGAAAACGATCTTCTTTTCTATATTTGATTTGGTATAGAACTACGTTGTCTTCAGGTTCTCTACTTGAAGAAATTGTACCTTGCGTTTTTAAAAAAGGTGTCCACTTATGAGATATTTTAAGACAAGGAAAGGTCCATTTATAAACCATCGTATCTGTCCGTTTGTCGGTGCTGCTTGAAAAATCTAGACAGATGGGTAACGACAGGCCGGGGGCAAAATTATTCGGGAATTGGAAATGTTTTTAAGACAGAAAGATGAAATTACTTCAAGCATACAAGTTGATAAAGACGTAAGAGTCTACCGAGTGAGTAGAAGAAACAATTTTTGCTTATCTTTTCAGAAAAAATCTTCGAATAGCACTGAGACAACATCCTTCTACTTGAGCAGTCATTCGCACCGTATCTTTTGTGTATGCAGTCAGGAAGAGGTGCGTTCAAAAGCTGCACTATAATAAATATTATAACTGCATTTAATTGATTCTTTTCGAATCGAAAACAAATTACAGATTTTTGGTTGACATTTCATGTGATAGGCGGTCTACTGTGTGTCTGGTCGCGATGTTGGGATTTCAAACTTTAAACTGATAAGCTGTGCATTGTTTACTGACCAACGTGTGGTACATTTATTTTCCTCGTTAATTATTTTGCGGCTATAGTAAATTTTACAAACGCAGCGGGCAAAATTAATGGCAAAAGGTCCACCAACTTCATAGTACACTATATAATTGCTTTTTTAACAAACATGGTAGACTGACAAACCAATCTATCGGAGACGTAGACGACAGCTGTTGTGGCCATGCGCATACTCCCTTCGGTCAGAAATATCATTAAGAAAGTCAGTTACTGCACACAAACAGACACACGTGGCACTAGGCTTCTGGTCGGCAGAAACAGTAAAACCGACGTCTTATCCTGTTTTTTTTTTCAATTGGTCTGTTTTTTGCGCAGGTGAAGTCGTATTTGAACCAGAACAAATTACCCCGATTTTACTGGGATCTCACGGGCTGGCTGACGACGACTAATAAGCCAGGAATGGCCATTCCAGTCTAATTTGTCTTTGCCGGCAACATTATCTGCCTACACTACTAGTTGTTACATCTGCTGTCAGGGCCCGAAAACTAAGACCCAAGGCAAAGGCGGAGCAGGATAATTGAGTTCCGTTAGCGGTCGGTGAACTTTAATCAAACAGTGTCGAACTCTCTCTCTTTTCATAATGGCTGCCGTGAACAGACGTCCTCCTTCCTGTTTGCGAAGATGGACTCACGCTAGACTGGTAGAGGTAGACGAA